AAACCGTTCTTATGTCTTAATATACAAATAATTGTTGTTGAAACCTGATGTCAAAAGATGGTGAGGTGGGAAGCTCACTTTTAGTATTTAGACATTTACTATTTGTGGGAAGCTCACCTTTAGTATTTAGACATTTACTGTTTGTGGGAATCTAACATTTACTATTTGTGTGAAGCTAACCTTTAGTATTTATAAACCTGTCCTGCATTGCTCTTGATGTCTTTTATTATAAAACAAAACAAATGAAACCTGTCCTGCATTGCTCTTGATGTCTTTTATTATAAACAAAACAAATAAAACCTGTCCTGCATTGCTCTTGATGTCTTTTATTATAAACAAAACAAATGAAACCTGTCCTGCATTGCTCTTGATGTCTTTTATTATAAAGAAACAAATAAAACTTGTCCTTCATTGCTCTTGATGTCTTTTGTTATAAAACAAAACAATTAAAACGTGTCCTGTATTGCTCTTGATGTATTTTATTATAAAACAAAAGAAATAAAACCTGTCCTGCATTGCTCTTGATGTATTTTATTATAAAACAAAACAAGTAAAACCTGTCCTGCATTGCTCTTGATGTTTTTTATTACAAAACAAAACAAATGAAACCTGTCCTGCATTGCTCTTGATGTCTTATTTTTAAAGTTACATTTTAGTCACCGAAAGTAACCAAAACATTGCAAATCAATAAGGCTAAAATTTGTGACAAAAATTATGGTTCCTGTTAGCTTGCCCGTTGTGGATTCAAAATTTTGAAGCGTGTAAAAATAGCATTTTAGGTCTTTCTTTTGTTTCCCCTAAGTTACTGCGAAAGAGGCTTTTCGTACAGTCCTAGAGCCCTTTAGTTGCGATGGGCGATGAGGGAAAAGATATTTTCTGAAGCACTATTTGAAGAAGAGCTAACCTTTGGCGTTTAAACTGTAACATATATACTGTATGTATAGTATGACTTGTAATGTTCTCTTTACTAGTATAAAATACCCTTGTCTCAAGGCCCCTTCGAGATTTAAAGTGTAACCATTAAACTTCTCTGTTATCTCCAATTACTTCTACAGCTACACTAAGGGGACCTGTACCAGGAAACTAGGACACTAACAGTGGTACCCGAGTGCGTGTATGCTAAGTATGGTCTCAATAGCTTACTTGTGAGAGGAGATATGAACAGAATTTCAACCCCCCCTTAATACTGAGAGGGGATAGGAACACAGAATCCGATGTCAGAATAGGGTGCAGCGATCCTGAAAACCTAATCATATCTTGGCAACCTTACGTACGTGTTTTTAGCAAATCTTGGTTGTATAAAGAACCCCGGGCCATCCTGGGGCCCGCCTGCCAAACTTGATTCTTCTATGGGATATATTCGGAGAAAAACAAAACAAAGAGAGTTAATGTGGGTTGTGGGTTGTTTGAGACATATTGGGTAAATATTATTGGAAGTAAACGTTGTAATATGTGTATTTGTGAATTATGTGTTTATTAAACACAGCGTTGCATAATGGGCTACCTGTCCCATCGCAGAGATCGAATCCCGAAGTTTAGATGTATAATCCTAGTAAAATGTTATTCTTCAAATAATAATATATTACTACAATATTACTAAACTCTCATTATATTATCATAAGTTGTATTATTAATGTTTAATACTTTGAATTAACGACGAGTTATTAAGAATCTCTGTTTAAAATTTAGCTTTGTCACAACAGAAAAGTAACTACACATTAATTAACCCAATCTTCTATAATAACCTAATTACAACTGCTAGAATATCATAGATCAATTTATAAGACTAAAACTAAAAACTAAAAATACACAGAAACATCAGTCTGGTACCGACTATCTTAACGATTTTGAAACCGTGATACCGTAATTTTTCGTTTAGATACGATTCATTAGACATAGTAACAAAAACGAAGAACCCAATATTTAAATTATAGAATAGGCTCCAGATATAGTACATGACTCAAAATATTGACACTGTAAATGATTATAGTCGGATGTATTAAAGAATGTTGTGAATAACTCATTCATTTCACAGGAATCAAAAATTCCGACTTACCAGAAGATGTGGAAAACTATGGAAAAGGAACCAATCGTGTTTACCAAGTCAAACAGTGAAGGTGTTGAGCGGGTCCTGCAAGGCAACTACGCATACTTGATGGAGTCAGCCTCGATTGAGTACAGAGTGGAGCGAAACTGTAATCTGACACAGATAGGAGGACTTCTGGATTCCAAGGGATATGGAATAGCAACTCCAAAAGGTCAGATTTACTTAAGTAATAAAATGGTAAGTGGATTCGGGAGAAACTATGCAATCCTTATGGAATCAACTTTCATTTAGTCCAGAGAAGACGAAACTGTAATCTGACACACATAAAAGGACTTCTGGATTCCAAGAGTTGTTAGAATAGCAACTCCAAAAGGTCAGATTTACTTAAGTAATAAAAAGGTAAGTGGATTCGGGAGAAACTATGCAATCCTTATGGAATCAACTTCCATTTAGTCCAGAGAAGACTAAACTGTAATCTGACACAGATAGGAGGACTTCTGGATTCCAAGGGATATGGAATAGCAACTCCAAAAGGTCAGATTTACTTAAGTAATAAAAAGGTAAGTGGGATCGGGAGAAACTATGCAGTCCTTATGGAATCAACTTTCATTTACTCCAGAGAAGACGAAACTGTAATCTGACACAGATAGGAGGACTTCTGGATTCCAAGGGATATGGAATAGCAACTCCAAAAGGTCAGATTTACTTAAGTAATAAAAAGGTAAGTGGAATCGGGAGAAACTATGCAGTCCTTATGGAATCAACTTTCATTTACTCCAGAGAAGACGAAACTGTAATCTGACACACATAAAAGGACTTCTGGATTCCAAGAGTTGTTAGAATAGCAACTCCTAAAGGTAATCTAAAGAAAAAATAAACAATTCCTTCAACACTATAAACTATTTCATGACTCAAACACAATATTGTATAGGGTCAGTGTCGTATGTAAGTATATATAAACTTGGCGATAAAACTTGCTTTTACACTCAGGAACTGAAAGTTGTGGATGTAAAAAGTCCCCCCTCTATTATATTATATATTATATATAATTATATATATATATTAAGACTGAAAAGCAGGGCTACATAAGTTGATAATCCAGGGTTCTTTTATGACGCGATGGTCTGAATATCAAGTGCTACTATTACTATTACTATTACGTTGACAATATTTGTATATAGTATGTGTAACTGTAGGCGCTTGTTAAAACCTTAAACTAAGAATGGTCTTAGATTATGGTTAGATGGTCTTATTAAAACACTTTCATTTGTAGAGTTTAATAAGTTAGTTGTCCAATAACACGGAACATTTCATAGTTGGCCTTTTCTTTTTACTTTTTTATAACAAAGTATCTATTAAAGTGAATTCGAACATGGAACTATGATGGGTTGTCTTTTCAACACTGGAATTCATGACATCTTTACGTTGAAGTAAATAAGTGTTGATAAAAAAAATTCTGAAAGCGATCTTTTCGAGTTTCGCAGATGTAATTAAAGAAATATAGATTAAAACATTGAACTAAAAAAAATAATTTAACTCATTTGAGTTTCGTAGAAAAGGTATAGAAAAAACATGTTTTTAACCAAGATATCATTCCTATACGTATAAATAGGTAGCTTAAAACATGAACTATATGAAACATATATGAACATAAATCTTATTAGGGAAGAGTAAAATGATCGAATTAAAATAATTTAAATTATTTGAAATTAAAAATACAAGAGAAACTTAAATAGTAAATGTCTAAATACTAAAAGTGAGCTTCCCACAAATAGTAAATGTCTAAATACTAAAGGTTAGCTTCCCACAAATAGTAAATGTCTAAATAGTAGAGGTGAGCTCCCAACAATAATAAATGTCTAAATACTAAACGTGAGCTTCTCACCAACAATAATTGTCTAAATACTAAAAGTGAGCTTCCCACCAACAATAAATGTCTAAATAATAAAGGTGAGCTTCCCACCAATAATAAATGTCTAAATACTAAAGGTGAGCTTCCCACCAATTGTAAATGTCTAAATACTAAAGGTGAGGTTCCCACCAATAATAAATGTCTAAAAACTACAGATGAGCTTCCCACCAACAATAAATGTCTAAATACTAAAGGTGAGCTTCCCACGAATAATAAATGTCT